ATGGCTCTTACCCCCCACTTGCACCCTTGGATGACTTCCTGGGTTTTAATTTTCCCTCCTTCATAGCAAAATATTGTACTCCTTGTCCCTCGATTGTTAAGATTTCCTGCCCCACTTGTTTTATAGATGGCTCGAACAGCTGAAGGGTTGGTTGGGGAGGTAGTGCTGGCACCCCCAACCCCCCTTCATAGGTGCTCCACTGACTTGCCTCCCACAGCTCCGCTCTGCCATGCTGCTGTCTCCCCGCTCCCCTAACAAATGGTGCAAACGAGGTCCACCGAGCCTCGTGGTATTAAATTAGGACTATGTGGGTCCACTGTGCCTGCTCAAGAAACGGTGGTCTAGATGATTCCAAGGCTTAGGTGAAGATTCGATTCCAGAGATGTTTGGAAAATTGTTATCACCGGGCCTACAATGGGGTGGGATGGAGGGTCGGTCGGGGCTCTGGGACTCCAGCGTCATCTCCCCACAGGCCGTGCCAAGACCTTTCGCTTGAAGTTGCCTGCACTGCTGGCGCTGACCACCAGGGAGTCGTCCGTGCGGCCTGTGGGCGCGGGGGGCGCGGGGACCCCGGGGGCCGTGGTGGTGGATGTGGATCTGACGCCCGCGGTGCCCAGCGAGTCTCTGGCCCTGGACGAGATGATGGCCCTGGACAACCACGTGGCTGGGCCTCTGCCCGCCGAGGAGCAGCGCGCGCTGGTGGGCCCCAGCTTGCCCCCCGGCCCCGCCCCGGCCCCAGGCCCACACTCACCGCTAGCGCACAGCCTCAACCCCGAAGCTTCTGGCTCCAGCTGCAGTCTGGCCCGGACCCGCTCCAGAGAGAGCTTTGCCAGTGTGCGCCGTGCCTCCTCGGCCGACGACATCGAGGCCATGCGCGCTGGGGCGCTGCCCCCGCCCCCGCCGCGACACGCCAGCACCGGTGAGGCCCAGCCCGGACTGCCCCTGGGGACCCCCGTGGGCTTACCTCCCACCACCCGGTCTTCCTGTGTCAGGACCTCTCTGGGCTTCCTTGCTGTCCACCATCTCTGCCTTGTGCCCAAACAAACAAACCCCCAGATGCACTGTCCTCCAGTCCAGGACTCATCGTGACCCCACAGGAAGGAGCAGAACTGACCTGGTGGGTTCCCCAGCCTGCAAGTCCTCACAGGAACAGAAAGCCTCATCTTTATCCCACAAAGTAGCTGGAGGGGTTTGATCTGCTGACCTTGTGGTTAGCAACAGAATGAATAACCCATTATGCCACAGGGAGCCTTTTGCTTGTGCCTAGGAGGTGGAAATCCCATTAACCACTTATTTAATCCCTTAAGTGGCTTTTTATTCCATTAAATAGCCATTCATCCTATTACTTTCCTGTGCTCACAGAGCGTCCACAGGGCCCTGGATCTGGCTTTCCAGGGCAACCTGTAGGAGGATGACCAGGGGGAGTCTGAGGGGCAGGAGAGGCACCCTGGGCCCCGGCTGTCCCTGTTCTTCTGGTTGGGTCTACTGTCCATGGATCAGCCCCTTTCTGGGAGCCTCTCCCTCTCTTGCCAACACTCAGTTTCGTTTTGGCTCAGTCCGTGGAGGGAGTGGGTGCGGTTGGACTTGCTAGTGCTGGAACCCTGTCTCCTGAACTGATCTCCTCATTGAATCCCCCATACCTGGCAGCCCTGACCTGTGTAGGGGCCAGTGTCCATTCTGGCTCTTCCCGCTGATGGCCTGGCTGCCCTCTGACCCCTGCCAGATGGCCTCAGCTCCCTCTCCCTCTCCACCCCAGGGGCCATGCACCCCCTGCGCAGCGGACTGCTGAACTCCACGTCAGACTCGGACCTTGTGCGCTACCGCACCATTAGCAAGATCCCCCAAATCACCCTCAACTTTGTGGATCTCAAGGGTGACCCCTTCCTGGCTTCACCCACCAGTGACCGGGAGATCATAGCACCCAAGATCAAGGAGCGGACCCACAACGTCACTGAAAAGGTCACCCAGGTAGGCTCCCGCTTTCTCAATTTTCATCTCACCTTGGAGGAGCTTGGAGGGAGGGGGTGGCATGGGCAAGCGTCTGGCCAGGGAGGGGGTGGGGAGCACCCAAGATGAAGAAGAGGGGATGGAGGGGACTGACCAGTAAGGGCTTTGTGAGGCGGCCTCAGAGGGGCTGTGTTCAAGCAGCCTCAGTGGGCTTGGAAGGAGATGGATTGGAGGAGCCGGAAGGGGGAGGGACGATATACAGAGAGCGACTTGGTGGCCATGCGATTAGGGCCCACAGGGTGAGGACAGGACACTGTGGCTGGGCTGAGAGGGCCAGGATGGGTGGCTGAGGCAGCTAAGGGGAAATGTCAGGGTCTGGCCTGGGTGTCTGTGAGGTTGGAACTGGGGTGCAAGCCAATAGGAGACTTTGGATTAGAAGGGATTGCAAAGCAGAAGTAGGGTAAATCAAGAGGACTGTAATTATGTTAGGCCAAGAGGAGAAGCCAAGCAGAGGGAGGGGGGCCAGTGCTACCAGGTCTGGTCAGGATGGTCTGGGGTGCCCACCCAACTCCACCCTGGAGCATCCTCCATACATGTAGGGAGGAGGGGAAGGTTTGGCATGGGTGTAAAAGATATAGAGAGGATCAAGTCCTTGGGTCCTGACCAGAGGAGACTAGCAGCCTTTGGGGGGCACAGTCTACTACTGACTCTGGCCCAGGGCCAGTCTGGCCTCCTGCCCTCTCCTGAGCATTGAGCTCTCTTGGTCGCACGAAGCCATGTGTCTGCGACGCCCCCTTTCCCCAGTCCATCCCAGCGTCATCTCCTCTCTTGTCAACTGCACCTGTGAGAAGCCTGTCCTGCTATTTCTACTGCCTCCTCCCATCCCCCTTCCATGCGGCTCCCTGACTGGCGTGGGTGAGGGAGCTGCCCTGGCCTGGCTGGCCTCCCTGCCCAGCCCTGGCTCTGGGCCTGCTGTGTCTGCTGCTCTGAACCCTTGCCAGGCTCCAACTCCTTGGCCTTGGCTCTCCCACTGTCCTTCTCACTGCAGGCCCTGAGCCTTCCTCCCTGACACCCCACCACCCACGCTTCTGGCATTTGTCCTGCTGCTGCACCCAGCCTGCTGCCTGCCAGGGTGTGGGTGCAGGTGCGGGTTCGTGTGTGTGTGTGTGTGTGTGTGTGTGTGTGTGTGTGTCTGTGTCTGTGTGTGTGTGTCTGTGTCTGCATGTGTGCCTGTGCCCCTTAGGCTGTGCTGGTCACACTCGCTGCCTCTCCATCTCTGGTGTCTCCATCTGATTCCGGCTCAGTTCTCACTCAGACCAGCAAGG